ACACTGTTCATATGTGGTTACTTAAACGACCGTACAATGTTGTTACGAGGATCGAATTATTTTTACTGAATCTGTCACGCAATCCCAAACTTTTCTAGAATTATCTATAATCTGTAATATTCCAGAAACTTCTTTCATGTGACTCAGCAGTTTCCAAAAATAGTACAACTTGTAATACGCTATAAATAGTAATAGACCATTCTAGATGACTAAAGTAAATGTATAAAAGCTGGCTGGTGAGAAGTACAAAGAAGATTTGCCCGAGGGCTTACCCTCGTGGCTTGCTGACTGAACTTGTGGAAGCTATGATGTGACAAGGTTATGACCTTTTGACCTTGCGATATCCGGAGAGAAGAAAGAGATGAAAAAGACGATAGTCGAGAGACAAAGAAGATAGAGAATACAGAGTTTACCTTGGAGTCCTCAGGAAGAGTTTGTGTACAAGGAAAGAATGCGATAAATCAAGAAAGCCAAGCGCTGTGGTCTTCAGTCGGCGGATGTTGGAATTGAAAGTTGATCAAGATGACGAACACTTACACGGCATAAGAGATTGTAAGCCTGCTTTATGAACTGCTAAACTTAATCTTTAACCTAAGTAAATTAGACAATGTAAAACTAATTAAATAATAGTTAAAATGGGTAACTGCTTGTTGTTACATTTTTGTTGCGTGCCATATATCGTACTCGGGAGTCTATTTTCATATATGCTTTGTTAGCGGACATTTGTTGGTCATTCGTGCACGTAACAATGTTCATATGTGGTTAATTAAAGGACCCTATGCTGTTGATATGTGGTTACTTAAACGACTGTACACTGTTCATATGTGGTTACTTAAACGACCGTACACTGTACATATGTGGTTACTTAAACGACTGTACACTGTTCATATGTGGGTACTTAAACGACTGTAAACTGTCCATATGTGGTTAATTAAAGGACCGTATGCTGTTCATATGTAGCTACGTAAACGACCGTACACTGTTCATATATGGTTACTTAAACGACCGTACACTGTTCATATGTGGCTACTTAAGGAGGCTGAACACAGTTTCTGATACCTGCACCACATTAGCCATTTTTCAACAACCGCTAATCTCTGGGTCACCAAATTTTGCAAGACATCAATTTAAAGGATAGACTATCGTATTTTGATAGTTAAGGTGGCGTGTGTGTCGTTTCTATGCTAACATGACTGTATAAAAACATGCCTTTAAAGTCAGGTTTTGTTCATTCGCAGAAACACGCGCCTTTCCGAGAAGGTGGAAATGGCAAAAAAATTATCCATTCGCAATGTGTTGTTCAACTGCGAATGCCCTGCACTCAATTGGGTTCACGCCATGATGAAAATCCTGCAAAATTTCTGGATTTTTTTGCATCTTGAAACTCTCTAATGTACTATTCTAACAAACAACTAAAACCTACAATAGCGTGTTGTTGTAAAAAGGAAAAAATACATATGGAACAGGTATAGAACAAATAAACTGTCGATTTATCGGTGCCATACTTGTTTTTTGCTATCTTTGTGTGCGCGCTGCCTCGCACGCAAAAACACTGTGTTCAGCCAGCTTACGACCGTTTACTGTTCATAAGCAGACGTGTCCTCTGTGGTAACTTCTCTATTTTCTCTCCCTTTTTTTGAAAACGTATTTCACTTTGCTATAACAGCGCTCAAAGTCCCCATCATTTCTGTTGAGGATATCCTTCAGGCCTATGTTTGAATTAAATAGAGTCCTTAACTCTTCTTTGCTTGGCCGCGCAAAATATTTGGAAAAGAAGTTTTCAACATATTTTTCATCTGGCTGATTCCATTTCGATATCGATCGCAAGCAAATGACAGGCACAGATTCTGTTTCAGTAATGACGTACGTCAATATCCAGAAATGAACTAATGATAATATATACCAGATTACCCCTATATTTCTCCAACATATAAGAGCCAGTTAAGAACCACCTCACCCTAGGTTTCCCCCCCACCATCATTCAAATACTTTAAGAACCAGTTTAGCATAACCTTGAAAATCACTGGTTCTTATATGTGGGTTTTTAAAGTATACAGCTATTTGAGAAAACGTTGGTGGAGAGATTGTTGATCGTACTACTGAAAGGAACTGTGGGTTATAATTATTTATTTGCACATTCTAAAAACGCACTATGAGGCGCTGTATGAATGATCTAATGATGCCTGAAGTGGCTTGTCTAAGTGCATTGTGTGTCATACCACAGCCTTGATGATGTTGGTCTTTCCTGTGGTACTGTCTGATCAAAAGTTCAGTTATGTGACTCTTCTTGGGCAGGAGAATGGGATGCTTTACTTCGGCCGTACTGTTGCTAGCAAATTTGTGTAGGCGTAAACAGGCGGCTGAACACACGATTTTCGTCTTGTTTATGACATCAATAGCATCTTTGGGTGTAGCGAAGGACTTTAATCCGTCGTCAACGTAGAAGTCTTGTTGTAGAAAATCTGCCGCTGTTTTCCCAAATTGCTTTTGACCAGCTTCAGCTGTGGCTCTAAGACTGGAATCTGGTCTTGTTTCTTGGGGTGATAGATGTCAAAATGGGGCAGGTACCAGACTTTGCCAGCACTGGTCTTCAACTCCCCTGATGGGATGGGACTGGCGTGATTCTTGTCAAAAATCTTTTGCATGAACTCAGTGTAGTGTTTTAGTGTCTTGCTATTTTTAAGGAGTTTCCGCTTAATTCCGAGTAGTCTTTTCAGACATTGCTCACAATTGTTAGGCAATATCACAGCACTGGTTTTGAACGGTAGGGGCATCTCCCAATTTCCCTTTTCATTTTTGTGGATGTTAGCGGTGAGAGTGTCGCGGAAACGTTTGTCTTCCACGGACTGACTTCTTTCAGTTCCTGGGATGCTTCGGGTGTATTGAAGTTCACTGTAGTCCAGTTGCATCATTTCCTCAACTTGTTGAGGCGAGGTAACATCTTTGATATAGTGCTTCGTAGCAAAGGACACCACAGGGTCTTCTTTGGAACTGTTGCTTGTTGGCACATTGAAGACTTTCTGAGGGTTTTCTCGCCGTATTGCGATGCAGTTGACTGTCTCGTAATTTCTTCTGTCTTCTCTTTTGTCGAGGCACACAGGACCAATGACTGTCCACCCGAACTTATACTCTTCGTCCCAGTGTTCATTATCTGTGCCGTAGATTATACGCAGAGGCTGGAAGGTGGACGGAATGTTATGGCCAATCAGCAATCCTATCTCAGTGTTAGTACAATGGTGAATGTGGTCGGCAATCCCTTCTAAATGTTTCCAAGACCGGGCTACTTCTGGTGTTTCAATGTCTTCTTGACTGGCTGGAATTTTCTCTTGTGAATAGGCAAATGGAACTTTAATAGACTTGTGTAGACTGTCTATGTCCTGGATGTGTTATCCGTTGACTTTCTGAGTGCGAACACTGTTCACGCCTGTAATCATATTTATTTCCAGGTTCACCTCTTTACCTTGTACCCCAAGTTGTTTGAGGAGGGAGTCTGCGATAAAGACGTCTGTCGACTGGTCGTCTAGTACTGCGTAGGTGGGTAATTTAGCTGAAGGATCATTTTGGTGGAAAACTTCTAGGAGACCTATCCGTGCACAGGAACGTGCTGACTGGTTTCGTCCACAAACTTGAGAGCAGGGCTGGTAGACGTGACCCTTTAAAACCTACTGGAGTGATTGAAGGGGACTATCGTCATATATATTTTTGGATTATAATTGTTGAGGAGAATTATTTAATGTAAGAAACAGTTGCGACAGAGAAATCACTGCCCCCTGGGTGTTGGGACAGAAACCTTTGTCCGATAATAGGATCTGATTTGTTTTCTTTCTAAAAAGGCTCTGTTTATACTATGTAAATTCAATTCGTAGCTATGTTTATTCAAACATTTACCTCAGGCCGGGCCTTCCAGAAAAACAATGTAGGGTTTATCTTCAGGGGGCGTTTTGTTTTTTACACCCTCTTAGTGTCTAGGAGTCCTTAAAAGCAGTTTCTAGCCATTTCCGAGTTATTTTGAGGGGGGTCTTCGTTTTCTACACACTGGGGGGAGGGGGATGTGTAGAAAACGAAGACCCTGGTCGAAATTCTTTAAAATTGAAAATCTTGAGGAGCCGTGTTGTTTTTTACTCTCCTTTGAAGTCTAGGAGTTGTTAAAAGCAGTTTCCAGCTGTTTCCGAGTGATTTTGAGGGGAATCTTCATTTTCTACACACGGGGGGGAGATGTGTAGAAAACGAAGACCCTGGTCGAAATTCTTTATAATTGAAAATCTTCAGGAGCTGTGTGGTTTTTTACGCTCCTTTGATGTCTAGGAGTCTTTAAAAGCAGTTTCCAGCCGTTTCCGAGCGATTTTGAGGGGTCTTCGTTTTCTACACACGGAGGGGGGATGTGTAGAAAACAAAGACCCTGGTCAAAATTTTGTGTAATTGAAGATCTTGTTTCTTTACACATCTGAGGCCGAGATACCCGTCTCTAGATGTTTATGAGTGATTTTGAGGGGGGTCTTCGGTTTTGGGTCTTAGATCTTAGGTCTTCGCTTTCTACACACCCGCTAAAGAACAGCGGGAAGCCATGCACATATCAATCAGAAACCGTTGCGAACAATTATACGAATTGTTCATGCGGAACACTGATGTTTCATGCTAATAATATTCGACTGACACCAATAGAAAACGAAGTAAAATTAAATTACTAGCCTGCAATTAAGCTATCCACTGGCGAGTGAAGCGAGCCGAGAGCAAGTCTCCCTCTGGAGAGCTCGCATTGCGTTTGAAAATTTGCGTAAGCAGTAGGCTTTTACACAAGTTGCTCGGATATCTCTCAAAAGTTGCCCCAAAATTTTTCAAAAGTTGCCCAAAAGTTGCTCATTTCACGAAAAAGTTGCTCAAAAGTTGCGTTTTGTCAACTCAAAAAAATCAGTTTCTACTACTGATGAAAGTAAATCTTTGTACATCTATACGAATTATTTACTTATTTCTATATTCCTCATATATTTATATATTTCAGG